CTCTCTCTCTCTCTCTCTCTCTCTCTCTCTCTCTCTCTCTCTCTCTCTCTCCCTCCCTCAAACTCTCTCTCTCTCTCTCTCTCTCTCTCTCTCTCTCTCTCTCTCTCTCTCTCTCTCCCTCAAACTCTCTCTCTCTCTCTCTCTCTCTCTCTCTCTCTCTCTCTCTCTCTCTCTCTCTTGGTAAAAAACACTGACATTTAAAAAAATACCTGGCTGCGTCATTTTACAGTTTCTGAAAGACCATGGCAGAGAGAAAAGATTGTAGTATAAAAAATGTGAGTGACTGAAATGTTTCTGAGAAGAGAGAAGGGGAGAGAGAGAGAGAGAGAGAGAGAGAGAGAGAGAGAGAGAGAGAGAGAGAGAGAGAGAGAGAGGGACAGAGAGACAGAGAGACACAGAGAGAGAGACAGAGAGAGAGAGGGGGGAGGGGGGAGAGAGAGAGAGAGAGAGAGAGAGAGAGAGAGAGAGAGAGAGAGAGAGGAAGGGGCAGGGGGATGCTAACTTCGCTAACACCCCCCCCCCCCCCAACTCCCCCGGAGAAAAAAAAAGAAACAATTCAAAAAACAAATGAGCGCTCCTTAATGGTCAATGTCACAGATGATCTCAAAGTCTCTTATGTGTTACAAGTTTTCACATGTGTCGCAATGTGGTGGAATCGGGCGTTCGTTAAAATAATTAAATGAAAGAAATCAGCACTTCTTGGGGTGCAGAGGGGCAATTTTTTCCTAATTTTCTTATTTTTTTTAGGCTCAACGCCTTTTATATCCTTTTAAAAACACATTTTTGTGTGAATTTTACTTAAAAACATTGATTAAGGACACTAATTTCACCTTTGAAACCAGGCCACTCTCACTTCCTTCAATCGCAAATATCTCTATTTCTATTCAAGATAGATGGGTGTTCTTTCCCCTAAAGGAAGACAAATGAGCAGGCTATAAGATGATACCAATAACTCCATATGCCCAAAAATTGACGAGCGCCTAATTGGATCCACGGCATTGTGACACACATAGATCTAGTACTAGAGCTGGGGGCAGTAACATCACCTAGGTAAACGATGGATGAGTGGGGGCTGTGTGTGTCTTCTCTGGGACGCTGACCGTTGATGGAAAGAACAACAAGCACAGTCCGACAGACAGGTATGTACTTTTCGACACTCGCACGGAGACATCTGGACAGTCTTGGGAAAAATTTACAAACTTTTGTTTTGTTTTAGTAGAGGTTTTACGGCGCTCGCAACTGCATAAGGTCATATGAGCGCCAAGGGGTGGATGTCAACAGAGAAGTCCTTACAGGGAATCAGACTTACTCTGCTCACCTCTCTAGCTTCAACAGCACAAAGTCTGCTTCGACTATCAAGGCACCCCGGAAATAGTAGGTCATAAGAGTGTGACAAACATACATTAAGAAGTGGAGGAAAATGAAAATAGTAAGGATTAGGAAAGAAAAAGCAGCAGTTCCCTGTTGCAGTTCAGGCACAGTTATGAGCATGATATTGATGAATCAGCCCATTTACAATTCTACTGTGCATAAGAACATGTTAATGTCCCCCCTCTGGGAATGGTCTAAAGACACTTCAGGCAGTAGTACCGTCCCGGTGTGTGGAGGTCAATGGGGTCAAGAACGTTACCTCTGTGAGCTCTTGTACTACTACCGAAATGGTCCAAGGCCACCCATTGTCGAGAAAAAATGGCCGGCTTAGAGAAGTGACTGTCTTACTCAGTTTCATTTTATCGTTTAAAAAACGTAAACGAGGAAATGGGAAATGTCCGTTGGCACAGATGATTGTCTTGTACGATCGTTCCAGTAGGTTTTACTGTACTTTTATAATTCATAGCCTCTTTGATTTCTGCACTTTAAGTTGTGACGGAAGGCAACATATGGAAGGGAAGAAACTCAGTAATTTTCTCAATTTTGAACGGGAGGAAGATGAGAGTTAGCTCCCGTGTGCAGGATCTGGTCCCTGTGTCGCTCATACAGCTGGACCATCTCGTCCTTGGAACAGTTGGCATCAAGGACCTGGTGGGGGGTGGGGAGGTTGTTTGGGGGGGGGGGGGGGGACAGACAGCGAAATCGAAAGAGTGTGAACCCGTGCATGTATGCATACACACACATATCTGTCTGTCTGTCTTGTCTGTCTGTCTGTCTGTCTGTCTGTCTGTCTGTCCGTCCGTCCGTCCGTTTGTCTGCCTGTCCATTTTAATCTATCGGCACTTGCAACACAACGTGGTCATATACGTGCTGACGATTAAAGGCTGAACATCCGCTAACCACCCATAAATATATCTTAATAATATACTTCCATATATATATATATATATATATATATATATATATATATATATATATATATATATATATATATATATATATATATATATATATATATATATATATATATGCCTATATGTCAGGGAGATATTGACCCCTTCTAAGTAATCTAAGCCCGACTGACCTTCCCATTCAAGGTCAACGAAGCCCACATCCTATAATATGTTCTAAATTATCTTTGTATCTTTCTTTCTTTCTTTTTCTCTCCTTCCTTGCAGTCTCTATCTGCCTATCTGGCTGTCAGTCTGTCTGTCACCGTCTCTGTCTCTTTTTCTCTCC